TTTCTCTTACTCCCCGTTGGCCAATAATTTTAAGCTTGCATCAGCACTTCAAACACTACTGCTAAATGGCAAAAATGTATACACCAGTTGCTTTGTTTTACTCTGTATTTCAGAAGGCATAGTGCGCCCATAAAAAATCATTTACAGTGCAAGAGTAGGTCACATTAAGAAAGCACTATATTAGTCATATTAATAAATTTTTTTGGTCAAGGATTCAAAGGCACAAGAATCTGTCACTTCCATTGCTTGGCTCAATAATCTTTACCAGCTTATTTATCTCCTATCCGACCACTAGTATAAAAAGGTTTTCTCTCTTTTACTTTTTAACTAAGAACAAAGTGGAAAAAAAATTGTGATTCACTACCAGGACACAGAAAATCTATTTGTGATGTAACAGAAACCACCAACACATGCAAACATTTCCTAGAAAGTCAACAACTGTTAGTAGGCCTTTCTACATTAATAACCACGGTATTTCTTTGCTTAATTTTACATAGAAAAGGGCACCATCCATTACATTTTCTTCCCAGATATTATTAACCCTCCATTTCTGCAGGTCCAAATACCAGACTTTCACTGAGGCAGAGCTTTTCAAGACATCATCATCTTCTGTGAATGCCAAACTCTCTGGTGGAGCACAAGCACTGGTTAAACCACCCAGCACAAAAAGGGGCACAGGACTATTTGGTCAGGTTGTGCTGCTCTTGCCACTGCTCTGGCTAGGTCTGAAATGGATTTCAGAGTCCAAAAGAGTACCAGAGTCAAGAATAAAGCCTGCAAAACCAACCATGTTTCGTGTGCTGAGTTGTTTCATTGTCCGAGTTGTTGTGGCGCTGTGCTCTGTAACTCTTTAACCTCTGAGGGGTTGTTTGGTTTTCACAGCTAACATATGTAGTGCACGTCATTGCAGAGAGTTTGCAGCAACCTAATTGTAAAGATGATTAAAAGCAAAGAAAGGGCAAGTTGGTGGGATTACAACCAGCCAAACAGAACAAGTCATTGTGTATTCAGTTCTGTTTAAGATGTGTATGTATGTGCAGGTGTGTAAATGAAACCCATGATCTATACATCAGTTCTGAACATGCAGAGACACTTAAATCACACACATCTCACAGCAGAGAAAAATCTGGACACCACCAGACATAATATACTCCACTTACTCAGTCTATCTCCCTTCCCACAAAGGATAGGGCTCTGTAAATTAAACTTTGGTGTAAGAAATTTCAGTTTGGGTGAAAGCTTTTGTTTTTAATAACATCCATTTGGCTTCCAGAAGCAATGCCAAATACAAATAGAGCAAGTTATATGAGATTAACATACAGCTTTAAGTTCGTATTATGTCAAAATGTACCTCTCACCCCTTCATGTGTGCTCTCAGGCATAGTTTGACCACTCGTTTCACTCCTGGTTTCTCCATTTTTAGATTGACTCCTAGCAAAAATCTCAAACTACAAATGTACTTGCACACATTTTCCATACACAAACACCATACTTTATTGTATTTACATATGGGGGGGAAAGACAGATTGACTGAACTGTTCAAAGTCACAAGCACAGCACAGGAGAATTCATATTCAAGACCGTCCTGGATTTAAGTTCAGCATATTAGATCATTCCTTCCTGAAACAGTGTTTTTCTTTATCTAGACTTTCCCACAACAACAAATCAAACCCGTCCACAGACAAACAGCATCAGAGATGCCATTACCCACAACAGACTTACATCAGGAATGAATATGACTGCAGTACTCAGAAGAACAAAAAATGTGCTGAAAATAAGATATTAAGAGCCAAATTAATTGGTGACATAAGCAGGTACAAGTACACTGAGTGAAATGGAGTAGCTTATGCCTGCCATGAATATAACCATAAGTGTTTAGCAAGTTCTTCCTCGAGTCTTTGTTTAAACAAATCTGAATTTATTAGTCTGCTGCTGAATAAATATGATAAACTCTTATTGAAATTATCCTCTGGTGAGCAGCAATAAATACTAGGCAACATTCTTTCAAGTGATCCATTATCTTAAAACTGGCTGAGAGCAACTCCAGGTTTTCTGCAGGCACAGACAAAAGTTATCTTCAATACAAGTGAGTACAAAATAGTGTACTGCAAGTTTGGGGATGCACATACCAAACCAAGCAACTCAAGACACCCCATCACCATGGAGTTCATATGGTAACAATACAGAACATTTTCATACATAATTTACAAACTACTATGAAAAGCTAGAGGTCAAAACTTCCACGGCATAATGTAACAGGAAAAACGTGCAAGGCATGTTGGATCAGTTTTTCTGATATTACAAAAAACTGGAGCAAAACCACAGGCAGCATTTGTAATTAGGAAGAAAAAAAGTCAGCTTTCGTCACATATAGCATCCAAACAGGCTCCAGAGTTAATTTCATTAACCACTATTTAGACACACTCGTAGGCCTCAAACAAGAAAGCAGGGGGAGAAAAATCCTGTAGAATCCAGTTTGTGCTGTCATCATCCACACACCCAGGGCCATCTTAGAACTTCCCAGTGTTCTCCAAATGCAATGTTCAATAAACCTTCGTGTTGTGAGACACTTTCAAGTATTGCATTTTAATACAGTAGACAATGACATCCTTTGGATGTTTCCACTGCCAGAAGCTGAGGCTCAGGTGGCTGCTTAACCATCCCCTGCAAAGGGACAGAAAGCAGAAAGCATCTTCCATTCCCTGCCTGCTCCTCCATCCCCCTTCCCATGGAGCAGCAAAGTGTCTCAAATACCACTGCAACACCTGCTTCCCAATGCAACCATGCCTGATTCTCTGTACAAAATAAAAACCAAAACTAAAACACATAAGGACGTAATATAACATTTGCATAATGGGTGTGAGACAGAAAAGACAGTTTAGCTACAGTGGTTACACAGACACAAACTCTCTGCCAAAGGGATACAAAACAAACATGCTCTGTTTAAAAATATATCTTGCACATCATTTTTACCATGTTTAAAAGAAAATCATACTCCTTAAACCAGAGGCCTGGCTGCAACACCCAGGAAGCCTGTGGTGCAGATGGCATCTCCCTGCAGGCTGTCCCCCTTCTGACTCCATACTGGTTTCACACCAGTTTCAGGTGAGATAGCACCTGAAAAGTGTTGGATGTCTCAGTGTATAGCTGTCTCAGCACAAACCCTGCCAGACCTACCTCAGATGATCACACTTTGGTGTTTTGGTTTGGTTTCTAACAAAATTTGGAGCAGTGGAGCAAGTTCACGCAAGGTTTGTGCTTTGAAATCACATGCTTGTGGTGCACCATTCACCACTGACAGCTCTCAGATTTGGTTTGTTAGTGAATCAAGATGCCAGAATGCCAGAATCAAATGCCCTCACATCAGAAGTTCTCCAGTCAACATGGAAGTGTTTCAAGCCATGAGGAGCATTTCTGTTGCAGGTGTATTTGTTTCAACAATATGACATTAAAAATTGAGAGAGTAACCCTCACCTTCTCCACTCCTCAGTACTCAAACACTGCAACCCTACTTCTAACAAACACGAGAGGAAATAGAGCTGAGAGGGAAGAGCTGTCGTAATAAAAGATGTATTGCTGCTTTTCTAATTCTTAATTCTCCCCCTCTTTCCATCCCTGGGTTTTCATACACAGTATTTATCTCCTTGAGAGCTCCTTAATGCTGCCCCTGCTTCTCTTGATACCCAGAAAATATCTCATTACACATACATATCTCATTACACCCATTACACATCAACCCTGGCATTAGGCCACCCCAGCAGGACAGAGGTCATCTCACACACCCTGGCACAGCTCAATCAGAGACCCCTTTTTACTACAGAAGCAAGCATAAACCTTCATACCCTTGATCATGAGCATACCCTCTGCTACAGGAGTGTATTTTACTGTTTAAAGCCAAGTGTGTATTGTTTTCCTTCTAAGTCACTCCTATTTTAGGGTCATCTTTATTATTGTCCTCTAACTACAGAAATTACAAAGTCCCCTAGCAGCCTAATTCTTAATGAAGATGCTGATAAACAGAAATAGGTCAGACAACAGCTCTGTCTATACTTAAGAAAATATTGCAGTGTCTACAGCCTCCAGCTCTTCACTTTGGCTTTCCTTTGGAAGCTCAAAGGTGGAACCTTTGTCTGTACATTTTTCTATCTTAAACACCCCTGCAAGTTTATTGCTATTTGCCTGTGGAAACACCAGTAACTGAGAATATATACTCTGCCAAAGGCAGCTCTTGCCTCAGGTTAGTCCTTTTGCACAGAAGGCTCCACCTGACAGAAGTATGTCTGTCCTTTCCTCCACTTGTTTCCAACCTACCCAACAAGCAGATGCACAGAGACAGCACCTACATGAAGATGTTTCATCAGGAGTACACCACTCTGACAGCAAACTGCCAGTATTCAGTAAAACCCATCCAGGAAACTGCTGCGTTTCAACACCAGATCTTCCGTGTCTCTTTTCCTCCTCCCTTCTTCCCATTGGTCTTGTTTCACCCGAGTATCTTCCCCCCAGCAGTTGTAAGGAAAAGCAGATACAAGAATACACCATTGCCACTAATGAATTCACTCAGTCATGTCACTAACAATCCCACTTAACTGTACTGTAGTATTCCTTTGGCAGCTTCTCCCACCATAATGTAGTAACAGCTCACCACTGTCCCAAGTGAGCTACCAGGGTTCAATTTACCACATTGCTTTATTCCCACACCAACCACCCAAAATGCTATCCCACTTGACTCTTACTGCTCTGTAATTAAAATAGTCAAGATGAGAGTAGTCAATACCCATCTAAGCTTTCATGACCAACCCACACACATAAGGTCAAATAAAGAAATCACTGCATAGGAATACTTACCAGCAGTACTCTCATTACAGGCAAACTGGACATTAATCATGAAGTCCTAGATAATGACTTTAGCCTTTTGTAGCACAGAAATTAAGTCAAGATTATATAAGCAGCTGGCCTTTAATAGTAATAATCATAATAATAAAATAATAATAATTGAAAAAAACCCCAAATCCAACCTCTGGCTACGAACACAGTTGCCTTACCTTGCAACAGCAAGCTTTCACTTACTATCCTAAGTATTCAAACACAAAAGTCTGGACCTTTTCTCCCCATGCTTTAAATATTTGGCCCAGACCATTCCCAACTTTTCCCTTTTAGCATTCCCTAAAATACAGCTACACTCACTGTCCTACTGTTGCTAGGCACTCAGGCACAGCTATGGATAAAGACCAGAGGGGATGCAGAAGGGGATCTGGCAACAGGAGTCTTGAGAAACCTGAGCTTCATTTTCTGTTCTGCATCAGCTTCCAGGGAAAGCTGTTTGGGGCTGCCACCTCCTAAAACCCAGCCCCTGGGGCAACTATGGCATACAGTGCCTCCCAACCCTTCCCTTCAGCCTGCTCCTCTGGGCCAACACAACTACATGTGAAAAAATGCTGTCAGGGTCACTTGTTTTTGGGCTGATACCCTGAATGCAATGAGAGCACAAAGGAATCACCTCTCAGTGAATGTAAATCACGTACACACAACCTTTTATCTCTCCAAACCACAGTCTCAGGCTTCTGGGATCAGTCTTCCAAACACCCTCANCTGAATTTTGCAGTCTCCATCACTGTTTTGCTCTGAATAGCAACAAAAGTTCAACTTCCCAGCTCATTCCAGGCCATGCAGGGGAACACTGGTGTTTCCGGGGCAGAGCAATAGCTGAAGCAGTGCCAGCCAAACTCCAGCTTCTCCCTTCACACATCCATGCACCTGTCCCCCAGCAATGCAGACAGAGGGAGTGGGTATTTCCAGACAACCTGGTGGTGTGGTATACTCCCTGCTGACAACACAGGACAGCACCATTTAAAACCACCTCTGGCTATTTTAATGGAGAGGTCCTGCAAGATCAGGTGGAATAAAATAAGTCACCACTTGCTGACTCTCATCTCGCCTTCTTTCCAGGAGAAGGGCAGATGCAGCCAACAACAGCAGCCTTTTGTTAGTTAGGAGCCCCATCTTGTACCATCTACACATCCATGAGGCCCAGTACAACACCATTTCAGTTCTGATATCCACCTCCTAGCATTTATTCCATGCAAACAACAATCACAGAGCCCTGCCACCAGTCCTGACACAAAAGCAATTAAAACCCTGGAACATCTGTGCATCAAATACTAACTGCAAGTGCATCTTTGAGGCCTGCCTGCAGAAGGTCATCAGGCACATAAACACTCGCAGCCCAGAGACTGCACAGACACACATGCTCAGGTGTTTTAAATATACATGGGAAGACTTTAAAGCATAAAAAATTGTCCAGATTTCTCTTACTCCCCGTTGGCCAATAATTTTAAGCTTGCATCAGCACTTCAAACACTACTGCTAAATGGCAAAAATGTATACACCAGTTGCTTTGTTTTACTCTGTATTTCAGAAGGCATAGTGCGCCCATAAAAAATCATTTACAGTGCAAGAGTAGGTCACATTAAGAAAGCACTATATTAGTCATATTAATAAATTTTTTTGGTCAAGGATTCAAAGGCACAAGAATCTGTCACTTCCATTGCTTGGCTCAATAATCTTTACCAGCTTATTCCTCAGCTTTCCGACCACTAGTATAAAAAGGTTTTCTCTCTTTTACTTTTTAACTAAAAACAAAGTGGAAAAAAAATTGTGATTCACTACCAGGACACAGAAAATCTATTTGTGATGTAACAGAAACCACCAACACATGCAAACATTTCCTAGAAAGTCAACAACTGTTAGTAGGCCTTTCTACATTAATAACCACGGTATTTCTTTGCTTAATTTTACATAGAAAAGGGCACCATCCATTACATTTTCTTCCCAGATATTATTAACCCTCCATTTCTGCAGGTCCAAATACCAGACTTTCACTGAGGCAGAGCTTTTCAAGACATCATCATCTTCTGTGAATGCCAAAATCTCTGGTGGAGCACAAGCACTGGTTAAACCACCCAGCACAAAAAGGGGCACAGGACTATTTGGTCAGGTTGTGCTGCTCTTGCCACTGCTCTGGCTAGGTCTGAAATGGATTTCAGAGTCCAAAAGAGTACCAGAGTCAAGAATAAAGCCTGCAAAACCAACCATGTTTCGTGTGCTGAGTTGTTTCATTGTCCGAGTTGTTGTGGCGCTGTGCTCTGTAACTCTTTAACCTCTGAGGGGTTGTTTGGTTTTCACAGCTAACATATGTAGTGCACGTCATTGCAGAGAGTTTGCAGCAACCTAATTGTAAAGATGATTAAAAGCAAAGAAAGGGCAAGTTGGTGGGATTACAACCAGCCAAACGGAACAAGTCATTGTGTATTCAGTTCTGTTTAAGATGTGTATGTATGTGCAGGTGTGTAAATGAAACCCATGATCTATACATCAGTTCTGAACATGCAGAGACACTTAAATCACACACATCTCACAGCAGAGAAAAATCTGGACACCACCAGACATAATATACTCCACTTACTCAGTCTATCTCCCTTCCCACAAAGGATAGGGCTCTGTAAATTAAACTTTGGTGTAAGAAATTTCAGTTTGGGTGAAAGCTTTTGTTTTTAATAACATCCATTTGGCTTCCAGAAGCAATGCCAAATACAAATAGAGCAAGTTATATGAGATTAACATACAGCTTTAAGTTCGTATTATGTCAAAATGTACCTCTCACCCCTTCATGTGTGCTCTCAGGCATAGTTTGACCACTCGTTTCACTCCTGGTTTCTCCATTTTTAGATTGACTCCTAGCAAAAATCTCAAACTACAAATGTACTTGCACACATTTTCCATACACAAACACCATACTTTATTGTATTTACATATGGGGGGGAAAGACAGATTGACTGAACTGTTCAAAGTCACAAGCACAGCACAGGAGAATTCATATTCAAGACCGTCCTGGATTTAAGTTCAGCATATTAGATCATTCCTTCCTGAAACAGTGTTTTTCTTTATCTAGACTTTCCCACAACAACAAATCAAACCCGTCCACAGACAAACAGCATCAGAGATGCCATTACCCACAACAGACTTACATCAGGAATGAATATGACTGCAGTACTCAGAAGAACAAAAAATGTGCTGAAAATAAGATATTAAGAGCCAAATTAATTGGTGACATAAGCAGGTACAAGTACACTGAGTGAAATGGAGTAGCTTATGCCTGCCATGAATATAACCATAAGTGTTTAGCAAGTTCTTCCTCGAGTCTTTGTTTAAACAAATCTGAATTTATTAGTCTGCTGCTGAATAAATATGATAAACTCTTATTGAAATTATCCTCTGGTGAGCAGCAATAAATACTAGGCAACATTCTTTCAAGTGATCCATTATCTTAAAACTGGCTGAGAGCAACTCCAGGTTTTCTGCAGGCACAGACAAAAGTTATCTTCAATACAAGTGAGTACAAAATAGTGTACTGCAAGTTTGGGGATGCACATACCAAACCAAGCAACTCAAGACACCCCATCACCATGGAGTTCATATGGTAACAATACAGAACATTTTCATACATAATTTACAAACTACTATGAAAAGCTAGAGGTCAAAACTTCCACGGCATAATGTAACAGGAAAAACGTGCAAGGCATGTTGGATCAGTTTTTCTGATATTACAAAAAACTGGAGCAAAACCACAGGCAGCATTTGTAATTAGGAAGAAAAAAAGTCAGCTTTCGTCACATATAGCATCCAAACAGGCTCCAGAGTTAATTTCATTAACCACTATTTAGACACACTCGTAGGCCTCAAACAAGAAAGCAGGGGGAGAAAAATCCTGTAGAATCCAGTTTGTGCTGTCATCATCCACACACCCAGGGCCATCTTAGAACTTCCCAGTGTTCTCCAAATGCAATGTTCAATAAACCTTCGTGTTGTGAGACACTTTCAAGTATTGCATTTTAATACAGTAGACAATGACATCCTTTGGATGTTTCCACTGCCAGAAGCTGAGGCTCAGGTGGCTGCTTAACCATCCCCTGCAAAGGGACAGAAAGCAGAAAGCATCTTCCATTCCCTGCCTGCTCCTCCATCCCCCTTCCCATGGAGCAGCAAAGTGTCTCAAATACCACTGCAACACCTGCTTCCCAATGCAACCATGCCTGATTCTCTGTACAAAATAAAAACCAAAACTAAAACACATAAGGACGTAATATAACATTTGCATAATGGGTGTGAGACAGAAAAGACAGTTTAGCTACAGTGGTTACACAGACACAAACTCTCTGCCAAAGGGATACAAAACAAACATGCTCTGTTTAAAAATATATCTTGCACATCATTTTTACCATGTTTAAAAGAAAATCATACTCCTTAAACCAGAGGCCTGGCTGCAACACCCAGGAAGCCTGTGGTGCAGATGGCATCTCCCTGCAGGCTGTCCCCCTTCTGACTCCATACTGGTTTCACACCAGTTTCAGGTGAGATAGCACCTGAAAAGTGTTGGATGTCTCAGTGTATAGCTGTCTCAGCACAAACCCTGCCAGACCTACCTCAGATGATCACACTTTGGTGTTTTGGTTTGGTTTCTAACAAAATTTGGAGCAGTGGAGCAAGTTCACGCAAGGTTTGTGCTTTGAAATCACATGCTTGTGGTGCACCATTCACCACTGACAGCTCTCAGATTTGGTTTGTTAGTGAATCAAGATGCCAGAATGCCAGAATCAAATGCCCTCACATCAGAAGTTCTCCAGTCAACATGGAAGTGTTTCAAGCCATGAGGAGCATTTCTGCTGCAGGTGTATTTGTTTCAACAATATGACATTAAAAATTGAGAGAGTAACCCTCACCTTCTCCACTCCTCAGTACTCAAACACTGCAACCCTACTTCTAACAAACACGAGAGGAAATAGAGCTGAGAGGGAAGAGCTGTCGTAATAAAAGATGTATTGCTGCTTTTCTAATTCTTAATTCTCCCCCTCTTTCCATCCCTGGGTTTTCATACACAGTATTTATCTCCTTGAGAGCTCCTTAATGCTGCCCCTGCTTCTCTTGATACCCAGAAAATATCTCATTACACATACATATCTCATTACACCCATTACACATCAACCCTGGCATTAGGCCACCCCAGCAGGACAGAGGTCATCTCACACACCCTGGCACAGCTCAATCAGAGACCCCTTTTTACTACAGAAGCAAGCATAAACCTTCATACCCTTGATCATGAGCATACCCTCTGCTACAGGAGTGTATTTTACTGTTTAAAGCCAAGTGTGTATTGTTTTCCTTCTAAGTCACTCCTATTTTAGGGTCATCTTTATTATTGTCCTCTAACTACAGAAATTACAAAGTCCCCTAGCAGCCTAATTCTTAATGAAGATGCTGATAAACAGAAATAGGTCAGACAACAGCTCTGTCTATACTTAAGAAAATATTGCAGTGTCTACAGCCTCCAGCTCTTCACTTTGGCTTTCCTTTGGAAGCTCAAAGGTGGAACCTTTGTCTGTACATTTTTCTATCTTAAACACCCCTGCAAGTTTATTGCTATTTGCCTGTGGAAACACCAGTAACTGAGAATATATACTCTGCCAAAGGCAGCTCTTGCCTCAGGTTAGTCCTTTTGCACAGAAGGCTCCACCTGACAGAAGTATGTCTGTCCTTTCCTCCACTTGTTTCCAACCTACCCAACAAGCAGATGCACAGAGACAGCACCTACATGAAGATGTTTCATCAGGAGTACACCACTCTGACAGCAAACTGCCAGTATTCAGTAAAACCCATCCAGGAAACTGCTGCGTTTCAACACCAGATCTTCCGTGTCTCTTTTCCTCCTCCCTTCTTCCCATTGGTCTTGTTTCACCCGAGTATCTTCCCCCCAGCAGTTGTAAGGAAAAGCAGATACAAGAATACACCATTGCCACTAATGAATTCACTCAGTCATGTCACTAACAATCCCACTTAACTGTACTGTAGTATTCCTTTGGCAGCTTCTCCCACCATAATGTAGTAACAGCTCACCACTGTCCCAAGTGAGCTACCAGGGTTCAATTTACCACATTGCTTTATTCCCACACCAACCACCCAAAATGCTATCCCACTTGACTCTTACTGCTCTGTAATTAAAATAGTCAAGATGAGAGTAGTCAATACCCATCTAAGCTTTCATGACCAACCCACACACATAAGGTCAAATAAAGAAATCACTGCATAGGAATACTTACCAGCAGTACTCTCATTACAGGCAAACTGGACATTAATCATGAAGTCCTAGATAATGACTTTAGCCTTTTGTAGCACAGAAATTAAGTCAAGATTATATAAGCAGCTGGCCTTTAATAGTAATAATCATAATAATAAAATAATAATAATTGAAAAAAACCCCAAATCCAACCTCTGGCTACGAACACAGTTGCCTTACCTTGCAACAGCAAGCTTTCACTTACTATCCTAAGTATTCAAACACAAAAGTCTGGACCTTTTCTCCCCATGCTTTAAATATTTGGCCCAGACCATTCCCAACTTTTCCCTTTTAGCATTCCCTAAAATACAGCTACACTCACTGTCCTACTGTTGCTAGGCACTCAGGCACAGCTATGGATAAAGACCAGAGGGGATGCAGAAGGGGATCTGGCAACAGGAGTCTTGAGAAACCTGAGCTTCATTTTCTGTTCTGCATCAGCTTCCAGGGAAAGCTGTTTGGGGCTGCCACCTCCTAAAACCCAGCCCCTGGGGCAACTATGGCATACAGTGCCTCCCAACCCTTCCCTTCAGCCTGCTCCTCTGGGCCAACACAACTACATGTGAAAAAATGCTGTCAGGGTCACTTGTTTTTGGGCTGATACCCTGAATGCAATGAGAGCACAAAGGAATCACCTCTCAGTGAATGTAAATCACGTACACACAACCTTTTATCTCTCCAAACCACAGTCTCAGGCTTCTGGGATCAGTCTTCCAAACACCCTCACCCTCTTAAGAGTTGGATAGGGAACGTATCATGTTCTCCAGCACCAGGCTAGGGCAGCAAAGTGAGATTTGTGTATGCTGTTTGTTGATGGGGAGGGGGGAATTGTGATTGTTTTGTTGTGTACACTGACCTACACCACCACCATGTTCCTTAATACCAACATGCACCATGCTGATCACCCACAGCCCCAATATGGTAAGCATCAAGCATGAGGACACCACTCCTATTTCTGCCAAAGCAAGCACAGCACATGGCACTGGCCTCGCTTCCTGCCTGGAGGATGCTTGCTCGATCTAGCTAAAGCAGAACTGCTCTAAGAGATGACATCCATGCTGATACAAAGTCTGGAGATACAACATTCCTTGTGCAGCCTATCTCAGTGACCTTGGCTTTGGAGACCAATTCCCAAGTGGAGGTCATACTGCTGCAGTAGTGATGCCTGCTCCATCTGCACCATTGATAGGTCATGGCCACACCTGACCCCACGGACACACTTTTATTCAAAAAATCTTCCTTGTAGGGGTTGCAATGGTGGCATCTCCTTAAGGCTTTCAAGTCTTCCATTCAGCTCTTGTTTTCGGAGAAGCTGAACTCAAAAGCTGTCAGAACACACAAATGTCCCAGGGCTACAGCAGCAGACATTTTGGACCACTCATCCTCCTGTGCCTGGAGCCGAGAACCACACAATCAAGTCCACTACTTGGACTGCGGGATCGCAGAAGTGCTGAAATCCCCCTTTCCTGACAGATCTACTATCAGCTCCAGCAGAGCCAGGAGATCCCCTGCCTGCCCAAGCTCAAAGGAAAAGCATGGAATAGTTTGAAGTTGATGTTTTAAGCGTAAGAGAGCAGAGATCTTCAGTGTGTGTCATACTTCCTACAAAGAGTCTTACAAGTGACTCAAGCTGCCCTAAGTGAGTTCAAGCCAGCCCTTTCTTCCCTCCCTTTTTCATCCTGCTTCTTTTCGCAGGACCACACTCATAATGATGGAAAAGTTTGAGTTAAAAGTGTCATCTACATAAAGGTTGCCTAGATACTTTGAAGATGCATGCCACAGGATGTGTGCAAATAACAGGATTTCACTTTATGTTGTATTTAAAAGAAGATGTGCCAAAAGCAATCACTCTGCACACAATGGGTAAGAGAACAAATGAGTCCATGCCACACTGATAGCAGGACTGAAGCTAAAGGGTTCACTTTATTTGCACTGGTAAAGCGAAACCCAATTATTCCTGAGAAATAAGAAGTCATAATCAGAAGCCACCCAAACTTTTAAATTCAATTCTGTGGCTGTGAATGCAAAGCAACACTGGTCTCAGAACATTCTGGAGACATTAATGAATTAAGAACCAGTAAACCTTCCAGGGAGGTATCTCCCTGCTGTACATCTACGTGGACCAATATCCTAGATAAACAATACAACAGCTGAATTCCAGACCTTGCATGAAAAAGTAAATGGAACATTATATACTGGGTGGGGATGACAAACATCTCAGACCATTTGACTTTTAGCTGGACTCTGCAGCTTCTGACAGACATGGCACATTTAGCTCTTAGGTTAAATGAGACTTTGGTGCAAAAGGATGCATTTACACATCAGCCTGCGATGTGGAATCCATCCCCCACTTCTCAGGCTTCTGTTTGAATAGATCAAAGGCTTCTGGCCATAGAAAGCAACATCATATAAGGCAGTCGGGTGCCTCCTAACACCTCCCCTGCTGCTGCCGGCCCTGCTCTGGCTGAGGACTCAGAGCAGCCACAACAGTGCTGTTAAACAACTGAAGTCAGCAATGAGCTGATTACACCAGTATCCTCAGATATGATGAATAAAAAGCATATTTCAAGGAAGATGTATTTCAAGGAAATTGCTTCAATACAGGGCAGCAGCAGCTCAGCACACAGCCATGCCCAGGCACTGCTGCTGCCCAGAAAGCAGGACTTGCCATGGAGCATCTCCTTGCCCCAACAGTGGGTCTCTACAACTGGGGCTGCAACAAGGCAGCCTCTGCAAAACTAAAGTTGCAGAGAATGAGGTGCTTGAAGAAGATTCTTCTCTCCAAAGTGCTATCATTTGGCAATTTGTTATGTACTCCCAACCCCATTGTTTCTGAGACTTGCAGAACAAATGCAGCCACTCATCAAGATTCAAAATTGCAAGGTTTGTCTTGCAAAGAGAAAGCAATACCTAAGCCATATCTGGTTTTGAGAAGGCTACAATTCACCTAAAAGCTGAGCAAAGCTCTCTTCTGTCACTTTAATTAATTGTGCACAGAAGAACAGGATTGAAGCAAATTTATTCTAAAGCATGCTGAAGTTGAAGGTGTGTTGCAGCCCCACAGCTTCCAGCTTTCATTACAAAAAAGTGGATTCTTGCTTACTACTATTTGAAAGGAAAAATAAAAAAAGTAGTACGTTTGGACTGTGAGTTTTTTAAAAGGATTTGATTTTCACACTTCATCTTTAGACAGTCATAAACCACTCACGTGTCTCACCATACCATCTAATTGGTTTAGATGATCTGGTTTCACTTTTTCCCAAAAAAAAATACTTCTAGCATGTGGTGGCAGGCAGGGCTTTGCAGGGTTACAGCAAACCAAAGGCAAGCAAAATGACATAGATGCCAACAAACAAATAGCAAGCAGCAAATCTAAGGTGAAATGAGTATAATTAGCTCTTCAAAACTGCTGAATCCTGTGCTGGGACTCCTGACGACTGCTGGAGGTAGATCAAGCCAGCAATGCTCTGAGAAATGAAGATACATAGCAGTTAAAGTCTGTTCAGTAATGCAGTGAGGGCCAAATCAAGGAATCCTACATACATCCAAGCATGAGCGTGGACCCATGACACTTTGCACACTGCCAAGGATGAGCAGTATGCAGAAAGGGCTCAAATCCAACTTCAAGGCCAACAGCTCAGAAACACAGAATTGTTTGTGTAGTCACAGATTTCCTTCCCTCTTACTTGACCAAAGATTCCAAATAAAACCCATTGTTTGTAAGGGAAAAACTTCTAAAAGGAACAGAAAGACTATTCTCACCTCTAGAGATCCATGCTACCCTGTGCATGCATTCACACCACCTCCTAGCTTTTAAACCAGGGTTTAAAACGCTATAATAACTGAATCTCTGTTAATGTGGAGAGGGGCTAAAACCATCTTACAACTAGACAAAAACAATGCAGGAACAAACTCATTCCTAGGCTTACAAAACAAGCCTTTACAGATAATTATGTTTTATTAGCTTTCATTTTATGAGGATTGTGTTATACCAAACAAATACCAGATGCCTATTTGTTGCATTTGGGGGAGAAGTGGAATCTCCGCAAGCATTGCTGTAAGCAGCCCTGCTTTTAATTAAATACAATAAATGCATAAAAATTAATACTGTTGGAAACCAGCAGGTAGGAAGCAAACGGGTGAACTGTAGCTGCTGGAAGATCCCCTCCCCTCCAAGTTCCTGCAGCAGGAGCAGCCACTCACCAGTCTATTGCTTAGGGCAGGAGCTCTCTGAGCAAGGCTCCTTACACACTTCCCTTTCATGCATTTCCATTAATGCCAAACTTTGCAGGTAACCAAAGCTCAAAAAAAAAAAAAAAAAAAACCAAAAGGAGAGGTGAGGTAAGTAGGATTTAATGCTACTTTTGTTAGAGAGACACCCATGTACTCAGCCAGGAAAACCTGTAAATAAAAGTCCAATTCTTAAATATGGAATAAAGATGGAGAAAGAGAAGAGAGAAAGCAAGGAGGTGTAAAGGGATTTCTGGCCATCTTAAAACAACCATCCAAAGCCTGATGTACTCTCATACTGTTAACTTTCCAGACTCATACAAAACACTCCCAAATGGCCTGACACAGGGGGCAGGACAGGCCTCTGTACCTGAGATGAAGGACATGCATCTGAAACATGTGGACACAAGCAGAAGGAAGCACACAAAGCATGACCTATAACAAGCAAAAATGGGATGCAGTTCCTGAAGGACAGTAGAACACAGCCAACTTTCAGTAACTACCAGATGTCAGCCATCCACCTCCCCAGAGGCATCACTATGAAATCTATTTCCCATTTTCAATGGTGGTTTCCTTTTTCATTTTAATTGCATTATGATTCAATCATGGGGTGACAATAGACACTTCTTTACTTAAGGTTGATACCAGCCCTGGATTGTAAACCCAGTTTGCAACATCGTGTCTGATAATAAAGTTCTGCAGAAGAGATTGAAATTGCATACACAGGATCTCATTGCAGCAGGGAGCCAAATTCCTTTTTTTTTTTTTTTTAAAGGAAAGATTTTTAAGACATGGCGCAGCAATAAATGCAAGGTAAATAGCAGTGGGATGGTTTCCATGTTTTGCTGTTCATTTTCAGGTTTCCATCTGTTCTATTTATCAAAGATGAGGATGGGTCTCTTCTATTATCCTCCACCAGTGCATATCCTCAACCTACTTCCTAATCAAGTTTGTTTACAAATATTCATTAAATTCCAAACTTTATTGTCCCAGTCAGTTAATTTTAAGACCACAGTACCACAAGCTGCAATTACAGTCATCAGTGCATTGATTATTGTGGAGCACGGTTACCCTGAGACCAAAGTTAAAGTAAGAACTATTGCTATAACCAGTAAGTACACCAACAGGGCACCCAGGGATCATACCACTATCTCTAAATTCTTCAATCACCACTTTTAGACCCAAACAACGCACATAATTTCACTGGGAATTGTTTTATTATGACCTATGTCATAAAGAATTTTCATTAAAAATGAAAGAGTAAAAAAACCTTTTGCTAGAAAGGGTTATTATTATAGGCTATCAGAAATAGCTAATAAAAGATGAAAACGTGTTGTCACTGCAAATCACAAATGTTGTGATACAGAAAGTCAAGAGACAAGTGGTTATTTTGGTTCTCAGCAACAGTAACTGAAACAGGCATCAGGAGGCAGTGAGGAAGAGTCCGGTCAAAAATGGCAGGGGCAGAGTGCAATAATTTTGACACCTTCAGCACAAACAGTTAAGACAAGGACCAGGTCCCCCAGCACAAACACAGAGCAAGAGTCAACCCAGACCTTGGGGTGCTCAGCTGCTGAGCTCCACAGCAAAGACAAAGGAGGATCTGAGGAGAGGCAACAGCTGAGAAAATAGCCAGCCCCACAGTTAGCTCCATGTCAAGAGACATGCACAGAGTTTAGAGATGAGTGGGAGTTTGGGGCTTCTACTGAGCTGAGGGGACAACAGGGGACCTGAAGCCTTCACACTGGGTGCAGAGCTCAGGAAGCAGCACCCACGTGTGGCTGAGCGAGGGGTGCTGGCCTGCCCCAGCCAAGAGATCTCTTAACAACATGTTCTCAGGGTTTCTGACCATGCAAGGTCCAGCTGGGGATAACCAGACGCTGCTCAGACCTTGCAGCTCCCCCATCCTGCCTACAGCAACCCTGAAACAACACGTACAGGCAGATGGGACAATGAGGTGATGGGCTACCCTCTGCTGAAGGTGAACAACCACCTCCTGCTATCAACAACTTGTCTCCTTACACACCACATCTGCAAAAGCCATATTCCAAGGAACAAAGCTAAGATTTTATTACTGGTCTCTGCAAGTAAATTTTGGGAAGGCTGTAGAAAAGTAATTGCATTTGTGTGCGCGTGAACTCACAAATTAACCCCAGGAACTCTGTTTATGGCCGGGGGGTCATTTACAAGGAGAGGTGAGAGCAGCAAGCACACGTACCCTGACTTTGATGTGTCACCCACCTGCCTTCACACAGCTCCAGCTCCTTGTGTGCTTTGATTACCCGAGCCTTCCCCGCCACTGCCTCACTCAGCTGCTTTCATCTTGCCACAACAACAGCGCCATGAGAAGAAGGGGGGAGAGGGAAGAGGGTGAGAAAGAGAAATAGAAAGAAAGAGAAAGATTTGGGGCTGGAAAAGTCAGCTTGGCAGAGGAACCTGGAAAGAACTGACATGCTGTCAGGCAGAGATGAAAGCACTAGAAATAAGGGATGTGTCGCACACTTATTAAAATGGTGGCATGATTCTAATAAGGAAAGCATATTTTTGGCACCTGCTTGAAATCACTCCCATGAAAGAGCCACCCAACAATCTAGGATGGCTAAATTCAGCACCGTTTTTATCTTTTGTTAAATATGCATAAAAGCTTCTGAACACAACTGTCCAACACAAAATTTAACAAAAGGTATTTTAAAATCTTGCTTTAACTGAACCACAGGCCAGACTGACCACCAACTCTGAAGTGACGCCAAGCAGTGAAGAGAAACCTAACACCAGCCTGAATTAAACTTGCAGAATTGTAGCAAAATAAGTAGGCAGGGAAAGGGGACGAAGAACAGTTATGAAAATGCAGGACTGCCTGAAATATTTCCCTGTCTTCCAAAAATGTCGCCTTGAAATTCCTACCTGCTTCATTCACCTTGCTGCTATCAGATTTTTTATTATCCTCAGTTTTGAGAATTTGTCTGGCACTTAGTATGCAGGAACGGTGCACAGGAATAGATCCTGCTGCCATAGATAATGCGGTTCTAAGGGAAACCCATCAATTGTTAATGGCCATGCAAATTGTTGAAACTAGAGAGTTATTCACAGTTATCTCGCTGTGATTTGGTAAGTGTCCATGCCTGATGTGATCACTCACTTGATATATTATTCCATTACAATTCAAGTAGTAGTCTTAGCTTTTGGGTTTAGAGAAAAAAAAAAAAAGTCTAAGGGAGTGTGGGAGGGTGAAGGGATGTTATTTGTTTTAAATTATTTTAAACAGTCACACACACCTTCTTATGTAAAGTATGATAAATCCTTTCCTGCGACTATAGTCATGCCTTATTGAAACATTTAAATCCCTCCGATCAGAAACTAAAGGAGCTTAGCATGCAACTTTAGACCATGATCCTGGCAAAGCACTTTCTTATGTTTCAACCATACACATGGTGCACATGTCCTTTGTGGCACTGGATCTTCCAGCTGGAGTTCACATCGTTTTACAATTTCTGATCAGGGTTTTCTACTGCTTATGCAAAAATTTGCTGGTATTTAATAAGCTATAGGCGTCTCCTCAAATCCATAATGCATTCACTCTCTCTTGCAGCAGCAACCTACTGATCATTAATTTTCAGCTTTATTGCAGCTCCAACGTATCAGCTGCTTTTTTTTTTTCTGCATCTTGTCTGAGATTTATTACTTTTAGCAAAGTGTATTTTAGCTTTTTCTATTTTGTTTGCTGATTTTTAAACCGCCCTTAAGGGGGAAGTGTTACTCTTCTTTATAAAATAATTCTGAAATCACAGTATTAAAAAATAAATCCTATAATTATGTTTCCCATTAGGATCAGATAAATTACATTTAATTAAAAGAAAAATCTGCTCGCGCTCAGCACAATGGTTGGTGGCAAACTCATAAGATTAAACATTCATGTGTTTATCTTCCTGAAGCAGCTGATCGAGTCTATGAGCAGACATACCAAAACAAGCCTTCAGAGATATAAACTCAGACATTATAACAAAAATTTGTCCTTCTCTTCAGACAAAGATTCTGATTATTAGAAGCAGCCTCTAAATTTATTCTTGACTACTACAAAAACTACAATTCTGATGGGCTTTCTGATAGTAACACACTGAACTACCTGAGTGCACCAGGAATTCCAGTATTGTGATAAAATGTCTGCAATTATTCGCCAGGCAAAAACCAGTATCAGAGGTCAAGATCTTCTAGGAGAATGAAGAAAAACAGGATTCCTACCCAAACACTGCCATGCTCCCTGTCTCCCACACTGCTGTTGGTCAGGTGATGTTCTCCACCAGCCTGAAAGCTGTAGGGGTCATAACACACATTGCAGCTCTAGCAAACTATTTATACCATGCTCCTTTTTACAGCCTCAGAGAACTAATTATTAACGGGACAGGATCCCCCATGGATGTCCTCAGCAAACACTGTGGTATGCGATTTTCCTTTAGGAATTTACTGCTACGTGCAGGCCGTCAGCATCACGCTCTCAATTTTGTTTAGGAGCTGAAGAATGATTGATCTTATTGATTTGTGTCAACAGTCTGACATGGTCATATCGACCAGCTGTAATTTTGTAGGAGGAGCTGGGAAGGGAACTGGAGATTGCATTCTCTGTGGCACATCATCCTGCCTGAAGAGAAAACGATGTTAGAGATGCTGGTACAGTCATCGGCAGGACCGCACTGGGACTCGAACCGACACAAGTGAGCAATGAGAGATTTCCCACGACCGTGTTTACTGCAAATCCACTGCTAAACACCCAAATGTATAATTATAATCTATTACAATTATGCAAAGAAGTAACATTTCAGAAAGGCCTTCTCATTTCCCATTCTTAGCATTGAATACTTTTGTTTTGCAGCCAATCAACTAAATTAGCCCTAATTCTGTTTCATTCATAAACACAAAGAGGATATTAGAGGGGGAAAAAGTGAATAAATGGGAAATTCACTTAGGAACCCAGGAATTATTTTGTTTTTATGTATTTCTGGACCAGAAACCATCATGGAGAAATAAGTCAACTTACAGAAGCTTTACTGAATTTGCTAACTGCACCACAGGAGCCCTTGTAGGAGTGATCAGGAATGACACTGCTTCAGTGCCTGGAAAAGCAGTGGTCTTTGGTAGCAGCTGAGTGAAGCAAGGAGAGTTAAAAGGTTCATATACCAAACATGTCCTGACCTGGGACAAATCAAACCCCGAAAAAGCTTTAGAGGCTATTTGCCCTCGCCAGACACACAGAGAAGAGCTGTTTTATACTGCTTCTGACAACTGTCACCTTTTATTGGAAAATCATTTTAGACCTATGCTCACTGATGCTTCCTGAGAGGGGGATATAGAAAACATAAATTAGTAGTATTTCAGTTTTACACAGTCTCTAAACATTATAAAGCACTAAATGCTTAGGAAAAGCAAAGACTTCTTGCCACTTTAAAAGCATATGGAAATGTAACCATGGTTGCCAGTGGCAATCCTGGCTGTCGGACTGCAGTCTTGAGATCACATCCCGTCACAAGAAGGCAGGAGCTCTTGAGACAGCCCTTCCAGCACCTCACTTCTCCCAGGGACTGCAGGAGGGTTGAGAAGTCTGTCTTACTGGAATATGAAATGGGAGCCTGATTTAGCCAACATAAACATCCCACCTCCACCACTTTTCAGGGAACAATCATTTAGCATCCTATCCAAGGAGATAGCACTAAACCACCTGAAAAAATGAAGCTAAATCTCAGCAAGAGCTGGTAGGAGAGACAAGCGGGGAAACACAAAACGTTCAAAGAAAACGGCTTCTTCTTCCTCCTGTTATTGAGCAGGCCTAACCCTCCTGACTGGCTTACAGTTCTGTTTTCTTATTGTAAGAAATGAAAACATTTTAGGAGGTACACTGCATTGGAAAGCCATCAGCCTGGCAGCACTCATACCAGTTTTTTCCCAGCAAAGCAGTTAAGACACAACATTTTGCCGAGAAAGGGCATGTATTTCTTAAAACACTACTTACCTCTTCTCATGTGAAACTAATCTCTTCTCTTTTGTTCTCATTTGGAATTAATTTCCTAAACTAGTTTCTTCTCCACCACAGCAGTAAGCTGATCTCTCACCTCTTGGCCTTCAAATACCCTTGCAGGCTATGTGGCACCTGTGCCACAATACCAGGATAGTTTCTACCCATGCATGGCTGTCAACTGTTAAAAATTATAATTTGTTATATAAGTGGAAGAAAGGCCTCCCACCCTTCTCTGGATGAAATCTTTAATTGCTCCCGTGCATACCTGGTGTCACAGCTCCCTCCCTCCCTGCCTTCTCCAGAGCTGTGGGGATTAGTTGTATCAGCATTACATAGCACCAATGCTCCCTACAGTTGACTGAGGGAAGAGGCTCCTAAATTAAGGGCAAAACAGTGATGATATATGTCGTTTCCTCCTGAAATTTGGATTGAAAAAAGAGCAACACAAAGCCTCACATAAAAGCACAGCATAGCTAGATGAACAGAGGAAGAGGAACAAATCTATTGCTCAGTGTAAACCATGAGAAGGTTTTGAAACCTATACGTCCCAAATACCTGGCACTGTGGAAAGGTGCAGAACCTTAAATATAACCTGAAGTTATATTCACACATTTCCACAGGCTAAACTAATATCCATATGACATGAGACAAAAGTATAAATCTTGCAACATCGTCTAGATATAGCCAAGTCTATGAGAAGTCAGTCACCTTGATGGCTTGGGTTTTAGCTTTTATATTTTTCAGAATCTCTGCTGTTTAGTGTGTAACTCTGAAACTTTGTATCAGGTGTTAGTAAGTTCTCTTCACAGGGTACTTAGACAAAACAATCCCTTCCTACCTAGAGAATCAAGGACAACTGGTACCCAAAAAGCATAAACAATGGCCAGGGAAAGTGGGCAAGCAAGGGGGCTGATGCTTCATAGCCAGAGGCTGTGGTTGGATAATTGATCCCAATAGGTAGATGAACCAAAACTTATAAAAGTGTAAAGACTTTGGACCGGGATGCATCCTGGATTTTATCTGGGTGTAGCCCCGTCCAGGCTCTTGCACTACCCAAAGTGTATCCTTTCAATAAAAACCTATTTTACTCCTTTTGCTCTGTCTAGTCTCTGTTCCAAGTCAGTTTTCCCAGGCAACAACCTTAGCAGCTTGGAACACGGCATTTAACTCCATTCACAGGCCAGACAGTTGTCCATGTACCTACCAATTATTCTTCTCTGGTTAGCAAAACAGTTTGTTTACCCAAGACCACAAAACTCTGCAGATTTTCTGAAAGAAATCCTTTGGAAAGAAAAGGAAAACAATCACAGATAATACTCCAGAAATCATCAGATTACAGCACATTCTCTTGACTCACATCTGTTGAGTAAATAAGTGCTTCGTGCCGACCAGTTTCATTTACTTCCCTCTCCTGCTGGTTTACTTTCCAGTGGGCTGTTCCAGAACTGTATGTGGGGCAAAAGGATTATCTCCAGCAGTCAGACCAGTAGTCTTTTTTGCACAGGTTTGTCTCAAGCTGGAACTCCTCTTGTTCAATTCCATTTTCCCAGCAAAATGCACTACTTCACAGATGCATGGATGTAAACAGGCCCACAGCTAAAAACACCTTCAGTGCAGCAGGGAGCAGCTGCATGCAACCCACAAGAGAACCCCAAATTCAGCCACTCTTAGGAGCAGTTTCAGTGAAGCTTACTTTAGGCTACTACAAAATGTCCTGCAGAAGTTGGACTTTGCCCTGTGAAACACCCAGCCAGGGAGAGTAAGAAGTCAGGAATACCAAGGGATGCTCTGCAGCACCTTCTTGCTGAGACCACCTTGTTGGAGGCAAAAGAGGACTTCCCCTTGCCAAAATAGGTAACTGGAACTGTTACTCTTAGCTCAGTCCTGATATGAGTACAACAAGCCCTTAAAACTACTTGTTTCCAGATTAATTCTATGTAAAATGATAACTCAGATGTCTTTTTTCTTTGAATTTTGTTCTATCATCAAGTGTCTCTTCAATAATGAGTCTTTATCAATAAGCTATCCTAGATCAACTTTCCTAGGCAGGAAAAATAAAAGCAGAGCCCCTCTAGCTGTGAAAGCTGTGTTCACATACATTCTGCATGCAGAAAACACCTGCGGCAGACCAGATCGCCCATCTATTACAATGCTTTGTCACCACACAGCCTTGTATGAGATGCTTCACAGAAAGACACAGAAAGGCCTGAGGCAACCAATTATAATAATAACAACTCACCCCACAAGAAAACTTAATTACTTGAGGTTAGGAGGGCGCCTGGTTTAAGGCCTGCGGGCAGGGTGGGCTCCTCTGCCAGGGCCTGACCCTACACACCCGGCCACACACGCGGCAGTGCCCAGCACCGCTCCTGCACACGGATCCACCCGCTCCCAACCTCCACCGAGAGGGAAGAACCTGTGCAAACAGCCAGGCTGAGGATTGCACAGCTGGCTGGGAGCTTAGGGATGCTCCTGTTGCCCGGCGCCCTGCTCCTGCCAGGGCATCAGCCTGGAGACTCTGGAAGCTCCTACCCCTCAGGGCCCTACTTCCATTAAATCAGCATCAACAGGCACATAAGGACACTACAATAAATACAGAGAGAAAGAGGAAGAACACAATAGAGCAGGTCCTATATTCTCAGACGTCCATTAAAGCTTTGTTATTTACCTGCTTACGGCATTTTGGATAAATGTATTGTAAACCGGCAAATTTCCAGTTTCTCAAAAATCGATATTAAAAAGTAGTCTGGTGGGGACAGGTCTCTGTAGAAGCCAAGATACTCTGGGAAAATGCCCAAGTGCTCTCAGTAGTTTTTGAGTTTTATCCAAGCTCCCGAAAGAGCCTGGTAATATACAAGATGCATTGACTGGTTCCCATCTCATTTAGATGTCCTGAACAACAGCCACTCTGAACCTGGGTGATTTCTCAGACCTGTCCTTAATAGCTGCAAATGAGGTGACTTGTGAAGGCTTTTAGATAATTAAAAAAAAATGCAGTGAGTGATTAAGTGTGGCATTTATATTTGTATTTTAGTACAATACACGGAAGCTCAGTATATTAAAAATGCAAGAATTTCACCTTTGTTTGAAACGTGCACATACATGCATGTGACGTGTTCACATTATCATCACATGTTGGACGGGCAAGCCTAAGCCTTACTTCACATTCTCATGCCAGTCTGCTGAGTGGCAAAGTCATCTCTCACATGTACTTCTACCACTTCTTTTTTTCAGTATGTGTATTTTATTCCTAGTGGGAAGGAAGCAAAACGAAAACTTGCTTTTCTCCCCATTCTGTGCCTGTTGCATGACTGTGACCTTTACTCACGATTTTCAAGGGTGGGAGGTTCAGCTGTGATTGGCACATGTTCCACCAGTAGAGTGCACACCAGGTAAACCTACTGGGTACCAGGCACCAATAAAAATGTTCAGCTGGATATATTCTCCTGTTGAAGTACACATCCAACCCTGCCTACTGCTACTGTGTGCCCTGCAGAGATGTCTCACCGGTGTAAACATGCAAGGTGCTGCTGCTCTCTCCCTCTTCTGCCAGCACCCAGCAGCCCCAGGTAGATCTGTGAGCAGCTCCTTCCATAGGCTCCTCCTCCAGTAAATGCCTCCAACCTCCTCTGGCAGAGGTCCTGCGTGTTTTATTTCCCTTTCCCAGTTCAGTCAAGATCACACAGGCTTTTTGAGCACTGAGTAATCAAAAAACCTCATTATAAAGAACACTTCATTATGCTATTTGTCCTCCACCATAGCTCACTTTTCTCCAAAAAAAAACGGGTTTTTTTTCACTTTTCCTCCTCCATTCTACTCCTTTTTTTTTCCTTTTGCTTCATTCTCACCATTAACTTTCGATATCAAGCATGGATGAGAAAGTCTCCCTGAATGAGCTTCTGGTGAGATCTCACGTTTTTTGATACTATCACTGCTACCCTATCCATCTTGCAAGACCAGGGTTGCTTCAGGTCAGGGGACATGCCACAGACATTATTTTGCTTTCCTAGAAAGATCCTCATTTTGGTGCAAACCTCTTCTCTGCATCTGGCTTTACTAGAACATCAAATTTCTCCATTTCTTTTGGAATCCACAGTCATTTATATTACCTTCCAAAAAGTAATTATTTGGAACCAGTTAAGCCTGTATATGAATTCTGCCTTTGTTTAAAACACATTGTACATATGTATATATTTAGACTGTCATTAAATATTTAAGAGGCTCTCTTTAAACTTCAGCAGCAGCAGCTTTTATTCCCTTAACCCTTTGTGAAATGGAAAGCTTGAGGCTGAAATCTTATTGTGGAGGAATTCAGAAAGCCCAGCTGCCCTAGTGCTGGGTGACAAAGGCCAACTCTGACAACCGAGGACACTGTAAAGAAAGCCAGAGGTTTTCTTTGTTTTCTTTTATATCCTGTTTGCTAGCAGTCTAATCATGATAATTCATTTTAGTCTGCCTCAGCTTTATCTGCTGAGATGCATAACTAGGATGCAAATTAATTAGCTGTGACATACAGATGGATCTTTCAATACAATTCACAGAGACAGTCAAACATACCCATCCCTCCTTACCCCAAACAATGCAAGACACTCTACACATTTTTCCAGAGGTCAGGAAGTCACCGTTCTTGGCTTTTTCATTCTCCTAAAGAGGAAACACCACATCCAGCAGACAGGTGGACCTCATGTGAACCCAACACCAAATGTTACACCCTAGATGAAACCCAATCACAAGTAACTTACGATCTGCGCAGCCCCAAGCAACATCGTAACACTACTACCCTGCTAACACAAGGTTAGCATGTTTTAAAATCTGGTCACTTAATTTACCTGGCTTGGCAAGGTCTCCAACCTAGACCAAATCATTCATACATCACCCCAGCAAGTACTGGTATCTCAAGGCCAGCTCTCCATGGCCAGGACACCTACACTACTGCCTTTCACATGAAGTGATTAAAGTATCACAGCAGAGGATAGTAAAATCAGCACAGAAATGCACAATATGCAACTCCCAATACATGGATAGGTGAGTAGACGTATCCTGGAGAGTATGTTTCTCCTTCTTTTTGATTAAAATCTTGAGGATGCTTTGTTAAATCCAAGCCCCAAACGCCTCACAAGAGTCAGTCCATGTGCAGTTTTCAAGGCCCAGATGTATTTAGAGACACTTCTTTCCAAGCACTACAGCCTCATTGATGATCAGATGCTGCTTTACCTGGGATGAAAAATGGAGTTCCTTCTACAGCTTTCACACCTGAGTTATACATCAGCACAGAAGCATTTCAACTGTACAGCTGTGTCATGCTACCTTGGTGATGTGACCCTGGCAGATTTTATAAAGGGAGTGGAGCACCAGGCATGGTCCCTACGGGCACAGAGAAGCCAGAAGACACGGGCCGTGGCAGGACGCAGCGCTGGGAGAGCAGCAGATGGCACACTCGGCTGTGCATCGGCACCGAGGCACAAGTAAGAAGAGAAGGGGCAGCAGAACATTCTGCCAGGTGCCCTTGCTCTCTTAAGATGCTGGGTCGAAGAGCTGCAGCATCTGCAGATGTTCACTAGAGCAAGCCCCTTCACCTCAGCAGCCTGACCACAGACTTGGCCTGCCTCAATTCTCGGAGTAATCTTATTTTCTTGTCAGTATCAATTTTTAGTTCCTGTCTTTTAACAGCAGCATTGCAACAAACGTTGAAGCCTTCCACCCCAGATACAGCTGCATCTTAGCGGCAAGTACGCTTTTTGTATGAATAGCACAG